CGGATTTTGCCAGGGATTCTCCGATCTTTGTTAAAAGGTAAGTACCTCTAGGTACGCACATTATTTAATAGGTTGCTTTTCAAAGTAAGATTTGTTAGACAAGTGAAATATGTTTAATTTATCTCGGGACTTTAAATACATCGGAGTTATGGAGGAGGTTTTAAAAATACACGTAGCTAACTCGACCCTAATTGATTTGGGAAATCATGGTCAAAGCAAGTAGCTGAAAGTCGTTAATTTTTAACACTGTTCGATTGATCTCGACAAAGCTTGATATTTTCAGTTAACTCAGATCAACAATGTTATTCACCGACATTATATTTTGACGACGAGCGTCAGTGAGTCCAAAATGCAAATTTATCATAAATCGTTGAGAGCCACGTATTGTTACTAGAATAAAAACAAAACTCTGATCTTCGACTGATCTCGACAAAAATCTCGAACACAAGCAAACCACTGACACTAACTGGGGAAGAATTATGTTCAGTGTTTTTACCGCTCCCAAACAAGAAATCCTTCACTGAAAGTAAGCTTCTACTCAACACTCGTGTGTAAACAAAAGAATAATCACTCGTCAAAGCAAAATGTCGTGTTTATTTTGATAAGGAAACAGCTGTATGGCGGAGTTTAGATAACTGCGAATTTTGCAACAAACGTAGTCTACAAACATAACAAAAACTTAGCCACAAACCAAGTCAGTATATATTATTATACAAAGAATAAACTTAGCCGTTAATTTACGGCTAAATGCACAGGCAGCCCAAGCTCACTACTAGAAAAGCGGACGTGGCTCTTACCGTGTTGCGCAACGTTTTAAAATTATAAAGGTTTGCATGGGATGTTATCGGTTTGCCTTAAAAGAGGGAAAAAATGTCTTGTTTTGAAATAAAATGGAGTTACCTTATTGCCTTGTTGTTTTCTTTGTTGATTCTTAGCGTCTCAGGCCACTTTGAAGCGTTTTCGGCGAGTTAGCGCTATGTTGGTGTTCAACTGCTAATAGGAAGACAAGGCCGGAAACACTATTTTAGAAGTGTCCGTCGCCCGAAGCGAATAATTCCGCCAAAAAATTACCACCAGTGTCGATTCCTCCAGAAAATCAAAGCAGAGATGTTGCAGTTCCATTTCCATTCACTCGATTCCCAATTCCTCCCACAGATCTTTCACTAGCGTACATATATATATATTTTTTTCAAACAATCTGCCAAAGGAAAAGAAGACATTTCTCGCTAAGTTTGTAAAACTTTGAGAATTCTACTCGGGCGATGGACTGGGAAACTAGGCAGACTTTGAACTCGACATGATAACTCAATACCTGTGGAAAATATTGAGTTATCATGTCAACTTCACTCGCTATTCAAAAATCGTTGATTTCTATCATTTCTGACGTGGTTTAATAGGAACCAGTTGGCTTAGCTCAGTTGATAGGGCACTGCACCGGTATCGCAAAAGATTCGCACCATTTGGAATCTCGGTACCCCTCAATGTTTTATGTGTTTAGACTGTGTTTAAATCATGTGTGCGTCAACCACAATGATGAATATCAGTTCACTAGTACAATCTACGTAATTTTTTTTCTACCTAAAAGGGTTCATAATACGGTTATGAAATTGTCACTGAATGACCTCAAACATGGCAGGAAAACATTAGAAAGAGCACCGCCACCAAAGACTCCAACGGTTATTCCCACGAGTCAAGATGACGATAATACTGGTGCTTTATCGGTGGCATCTGTCAGAGAAAGATTTGAACAAAAGCGAATACCACCGCAGAAGCCCAATGCAACACAATCACCTAGTCAAGGTCGTGGCAAACCCACAGAGGAAAAGGTTTTATCTGTGGCCTCAGCAAGAGCAAAGTTTGAACAAGAACTGAAACCTGTAAATAAAGGTCCTCATCCCTGGAAGCCAACGCCAAAATATAGGAACCAGTCTAAAACAGACTTACTGAGACTGGATAAGAACAGTAATGCCAAGGGGCATGGGAACAAAGAACCACCGCGTAAAGAGCTACCTAACATTTTTAGAATTGGTGCTGCTCCATCCAAACCTGCCAAACCGACTAACCTAAGGTTCATGCTAAAAAAGTACAAGGACAAGATCATTTTGTCAAACAGCCTAACCTCTTCGACTCAGACATCCACAAAAGGTAGCTAAAATATAAATATAGCCAAACTATCGGGTGTATTTTTAGCCTTTTGAAGAACTCGTATGTTCTAGAAATCCAGCGAAAAGCACGAGACTTAACTTTACTACCCTTGTGGGGCGAGGTGTAAAAGGTTACTCCCATTCTCTGAATTTGGTGCAGCACCAACTAAACCAGCCAAACTTGATTATTTGGAACCCTTGCTCAGAAAGTTTCAGGAGGTGGTTTTCTTGTTTGGTATGGATTATTCGATCCCGACTGGCGTATATGATCCGAACCTCTACAATCCAACCGTCATTTTGCATTGTACGATTGTTATACGTGTATTATAAAAAGCATTAAAAGTTTTAGATTAAGCTTGCCAGCTTTACTTAAGGTACTCTTTCGCCCTCTTGACTCTAACCCAGCTCGGTGAAGGGGAGGGAGAAAGGAAGACTCTGCTTTATATCAAAGCTATAGTAATCAGTATTTATGCAATTTATTATGGAGAGCGTTTCTCCACCAGCGGACACGCCTGTCATTGACACGTCATGGAATGTCCATCAACAAGTCAGGAGGCTACTGGAACTACTACCATCTCGAGCACTAAATACAGAGGCATTATTACGACCGAGTCTGCGATTGCTATTACGTACTTCGGAGGAAATCCGCGTTTTAGCTTCAACACCAACCATCAGCGAACCTTCAAAAGAAAACCCTTTATTAAGGTTTGAACACTATAAAGAAACTTCGATTACATCCCCGCCCTCTTGGAAACAAAATGAAGGGAACCAAAAGAAAACAGGCTCTCAAAGACGTGATGGATGGATCTATCTGATTGATCAGGGTAACACAGAACCGAATCGTAAAGAGTTACCTACCTTGTGTGACATTGGCGCAGCTCCACAAAAACCAGCGAGGCCTGATTACCTAAAGTTCAATCTTAGAAAGTACTGGCACATGATCGCCATATCAAAGGGTGTAAGAAATATTGCTAAAACCTCCTCTGGATCCAAGTCAAATGGTAAGTGGGTAGCAATTCTTTCTAATAACAAATTCAATCTGGGTACCTAACGTTTGATTTCATTTTGCCAATTATTGTCCTTCATTGTTATTGAAATTAGCTCTTTTCTATCAATTATATACTTATTGGGACGCAATCTTGCTCTTATTCATCTTTTTATCATGCATGTTTCTAATAATTTATCTATTCATCTCATTTATTTAGTTTTAGGGGATTAAGCCTTTTTCAGTGTCTGAGAAGTTACAACAAGAACATTGAAGTAATCATGGCTTATGTATCAATCAATTCGAAGCTTCAACATCTCCCTCTCGGGGGAATTTTCCCGGGCATTGAACTTTTGATGATTGGTTTGTTCAAATTCCCGCCTCCTGGGGCAAAAATTATGTTCAAATGCCTCACCCAATGTTTTTACAAAAGGAAAAAATTAACGACCGTGACTTTCTATAAATTGACCAAGCTTTAAAACATAGACCTTGTACAGCTCTTCTTCTGAGCCATTCACGATATGGAATTTTTTCTTGTTAAGCTTCGAAGTTATCGGAGCATAACCAAGTAATATTTGAATTCCTACGTGATTTCGAGGGAAAAGCAGTTATCATATATAGTAAGTCCCTGATCGTTCTTCTTAACCTACTAAGAAAGAAAAATCGAGGTATCTGGGTTGTGAGAATTTATATATTCATTCAACCCGAGCGAAATCTTTTAACTGCCTTTGTTTTTTAGAGGAAGGATATCTTGCTTACGTAGAGACTAGTATGGAATCAGCGCTGATAACGGGGAATCGTCCAAGATTAACTCCTGGAAAAGCAGACTTGAAGAAAACTGGATATTGCAAAGTCCTGCTAACTAAGCTGTACTATCATCCAGCCAGGCCTTGCCAAACTCCTTTTAAAAAAGGAAAACATTATGGGAACGAGGTTGTTAAAATTCTCGTTTTCATTTACGTCAACTTAATTAAGTAACCGCTTTTGTTTTTAAGAGGGAGCGGGATATCTTGACTTAGAAGAAAATTGCGACTACGGTGCTGCGGAACCACCGATGATAACAAGGAATGTTACAAGATTAACTCCTGGAGAAGGTAGCTTGAAGAAAACTGGTTTTCGAAAAGCCCTTCTAACTTTTGTGTTATATTATCTAGATGTTCTCCTCTACAAAAGAATTCATATATCCATTTTACGCCAAGATATAAAAATTGTCCAACTGCCTTTGTTTCTAAGTAGAGGAAGAATATCTTGCCATAGGAGTATTTCACATGAACGTACACATTACTGGTGAGCCACCAGTTACGACAAAGAATCGTAGGGGATCAATTACTAGAAAAAGTCATCAGAAAAAAAATGGCTTTTGCAAAGTCCTTCCAACTAAGATGTTACCTACCTCCCTTCAGGAAAGAATAATCAGGGAGGCCCGTCGCTCAGCTGCGTAGGGCGCAGTAAGTTAATCCTGCCTGTTTTTCAGTTTGTATTTTTCGCCGGAGACCTAGGCCCAGTTGTTCAAAGGGCAGATAACATTTTCCAAGGGAAGCTAACAAAACAAACTACGATATCCACTTGATAGCTTTTATCCTGTGGATAGCGTTTTCCACCTTCATCTGAGAAGCGATAGCTAACCGAATTAGTTATCCAGCTATTCGGATTATGATTCAAGGCTACTTATGCGGTATCAAATCCTAAGTTAGTGAGGCTAATTTTGTATGCCCGTGGGACTTTCTCAAGACAGGGTAGCCTGCATTTTATTTTGTTTTGTAGCCGAGGACAGCAAAGATGCCACAGCTTCTAAAGTCATAACCGATAAAGGAGTATCACTGAGTGTAAAAGGCGTTAACTTGATCTGCCCTCCTGGAGCCGTGAAAGATCCTGTTAGCATCCGGCTTACATTGGAAGAACCTTACAGATACTGTTACCTGATAGCTCGATGTGGTCTCCACAATGATGTATTATTTGTTTCTCCCATTGTCAACTGTCGACCAAATGGCCAGAAATTCGAAAAATATGTCACTCTCAAGGTTACATTAAACAGAAAAAGGGTGAAGTCAGACGGTGATCTCCTCGTTTTACATGGAACTCGGACCGGTCAAAGCCAAATAATCAATTGGGAGGACATCACTAATGAGTCCAAATTTGATTTGCAAACGAAAAACCTAGAAGTTAGAATAAATCAATTTTCATTGATTGCTGTTCTAGCGAGGTTGACATTGGTACGCACCAAAGAAATTGTAACTCGGCTGAACCTCATGCCCTTCAACTACAACTTGTCTGTCCTCCTTAAACTTAATAAGCAGCAAAGCCCCTTCGACGAACTTGCTCTTGTGTTCATGAGCCAAGACACCTACCGGGAGGAATACTACAGAGATCATGAAGATTCTGCCATAATGCGGCTTAAAAAAGATGGATTTGAAGAGCTCCCTATTGACTCTAAAAATGCACAGGAAAGTATCTGTATCTACAACAAGGAAATCATAACGATCTCAGTTCAACTCGGGGAGGATTACAAACCGGCAAACAACCAGCAAGAATGTTTTGAAGTGGTTGTGGACTCTTGTGCTTGGTGGAATACTGGACATGTGATCAAATTACCTTTACAAGTTTGTAACACAAATTCAAAAATTGTTTGTGGAAAGATCCTTGTGAAAGGCGAGTTTGGACACGTTCGCGAGAACAAGTTTTGCCAACAAGGTGAGCTTCTGCTATTTGAGTATTCGAGTTTTTTTAAATTTGCCCCATCTTAACTGGTGTATTAGCTCCTACAATCTTATTCAGTTTAAATGATAGTCACACTACATAAAATATTTCGGTAAAAGAATTTTCAGATGATCTCATACAAAAAAATTAAAGAAGGTTAAATTGACGTGTTTGTTTTATGAAGAAAAAAACCTTTCATTGCAGATCTGTGTGGCTATGTGAGACACGTTCTTGGTGTGAAGAAGGCAATTTTTGACGTTAAAGCCGTGGCTCAAAAGCTCGAATTACCCGCAGAAACTCAGCGTCAAGTTCTTACATGTTGGCAAAGCGAGGCAAAACAACTGGAACTTGTATTACTACACTGGAGGGAAAAGCATGGGGATGCAGCAAATCCGAACCATCTGAAAAAAGCCCTTGAGGAGTTAGAGCCTGAAGGTATACCTCTTTTCTACTATTATGTTAACTTTATAGAAGGTCACGACCATAAACTTCTGAGTATGGTCTGAGTGCGATTAGGAGGTCGTTTATAATGATAAACCTTGAAGTTCTATATTTCCGTTCACGATCTGTTTGATTTTTTTTCGTAAAAGCAAGATTGGCACTGAGTTGGAAAAAATGAGGTAGGTTGTTTCATTTTTACATATATACCGAAACGGAGCAGAATATCGTACACTCCATCCCCTGCTTACCATTACTGCAAAGATGTAGGAGACGGAGCTCCCGTTTATCGTCCTTATCCGAGGACGTTAGACCGTCCAAACATTTTCTGATGTTATCGCAAAAGCGTATTCTCCTCGCTCATTTTATTGTTGGTCCGTTCGAAGACTTGAGAGCCACGCGGTAACAGCCTCTTTCTTTCTTTATATAATTGTAGAATACAAGGTGAAAGAGAGAGGACAAATGCATATCGATCACTTAAGAGAGCTGGCATTTAAAATCGCAGGTTTAGAACACCACGACACTGACGTAATGAAATATTTTGATCGCGAAGTTGAGAAGCTTTGCAGTGCAGTCTTAAGAGACTGCTGTATTGAAAACGCAACCTCCAAAGAAGAGGTGGAATCAGCAATTCAAACGGAGAATTTTGCCTCTGTTCTTGTGATGAAAAAGCGACTACCTGAGAGCGTTGGTAAAACGTGCACGCGAATGTTCTCTTCTCAAGAGGATGAATTCAATACAAGCAGTTTCTTATGCGTTGTTTCTGAGCTCATACAATGCATTAAAGAAATCTTCCGAGAGGAGAAAATTCAACGAACGCTAAGTGGATTACGAGGAGTGACGGAGGAGGCAACACTCCAAAAAATTACTTCAGGCATTCGAGATGCCGCTTATGATAAGAGTATTTTCAAGCTTTTGAGTGAGGTGTGCCACATTCTCGAGATTCTATGTCGAAACAATAACGATGACCGACAAAGAGAGTCACGGATACAAAGCTGGGGAAGTTGCGCCATGATGGCTGTAATGTTGCATTTTCTGGAAAGGTTCTTTCAATGCGCTGAAGCATGTAGATTGTACAGAAGATTGAAATTGTTTTCCTTCTCAATAAGAGACATCATGTCAAACCCTACAGCTTATGAGGGAAGCTTCCTGCGTGATTTCCACAATGTTGCAGTAAGTTTGTTGAAGTTCGCCAGGTTTGATCCATCACACCTTGTGCAATTTGAACTGAAAGACCCAAATTACTCAATCAACAACCAAACAAAAGATGACATAAAGTACGATACGTCGAAAGAAATGTTTTCTCAGCTCTTTTGGATGATCAAGAAGTGTGAGGAAAACTTGCAACTTGAGGCTACTGCACATGTTCACGTCGGTGGACAACTTCTCACACTTGGAGCATTTGAAGCAATGGTCATCCTTCCTGAGTCATTTAGCGAGGTTGTTGAAAATGCTCCCATCGCTTCTTTTCCAGTATCATTCAAAAGTGAAACTGACGGAGAATCATCGAACCTTCGAGTTACTCTGTATTCTACGCAGAAAGACAACATCGGCAAAGCTCTGGAATATTTGCAGGATGCGTTAGATGGACAATTGAGCCTCTCAAAACAAACAGAAATAAAAGAAACCAGCCTGAAACTTTTGAACGTCGCCAAAGCAGGCACAGACGTTAGACTACGTTTGACTCACATATGGGGATCAGGGACTCTAGGCGTGGAAAGTAATACTTTCGTGCCGTTGGGATATTCATCTCCAGAAACTCATAACAATTTGGAAATAACAGGTTGAGAAAAAAATAATTTTTTAAAAATAATTTTACTGGTCATTAAGTCTGTTGTTAAACTTTTTTTGTGACGTAAAGGGCTGATATGTTCAATTCGAAATCAGAGACCAAAAAACTACCTAATTTCCTTCCTACGAGATTTTCCACACCAGGGATCTCACTTTGCACTTTGTTAGTATACTTCTCTTGTGAGTCATGTAATGCTTTGTGAAACGAGTTAAGTAATTTTTAACCCTTTTCAAAAATAGTGCTTTACTGAATTACTAAACATTTGTTAGACTCAATGTGTGACCAAAAGTACCCAACTGCTGTATATATTGCTTTAGATGAGCCTGATCAACAAGCGGTTGGGGAATCGTCACTTTTACCAGTTGCAGGAACAAGCGAATACATTGCGGATAACCACAACAGAGGTAACGACTTCATGACTGGCCCGTCAAGTGCTGAACTGATTCCTTCCTTGACGTCGACAACAAGACAAACGGGTATGTTTCGAGATTTTTTAACTTATCTCAAGGTGCATTCTTTAGGGAGGATCGATCCAGGTCAGGCTCTAATCCGAGATCACCCAATGATCCGTTTTCAGATTCCTCAGATTGTTCATCTTAGGAATCCTTGTCCAAAGCTGATTCAATAGATCAATGATCTGACAAAAAACCTCTTCCGGATCCTCCAAAAGGAACGCACCCTCGAGCTATTTGTAGTGTGATGTTGCATTGTATACAGTAGTTCCAATGCGTGTGCGGACTAACAGTGTATTTATATTTACGCTTTATTTCAGTAATAAACGTTAATAACTATATTAATCACACTGTCAACATGGAGGGTCACGTTTGTGTGGCTGGAGAGAGGCCAAATCTAAACGTTCAATCGCCTTCATCTGCAGCACACCGGTATGTAAACTTACTCCGTGATGCATTATTAAATGATTGTGCTGAGTGTAGTGGGAAAGAAATTCACTGATAGGAAGGGAAGGAATCTTAAAAGATCTAGAATTAAAGAAGGAAGTTACCACTTATTAGTTCATGATGTTTGCAGCATTTTTTACTTTGTCTTCTACTCTTCTAAACTTCATTTACCTAATTTTGTTGAGTGTACTGAGATACTTACATTTTAAGCTCTTATCGATTTCAACTACCGACCATAAAGGGCAAAATTATGGGATTAACTGGCAATGTGGCAGATGCCCGAAAAACAAGAACAATTAACAAGCTTTATTTCATGCGATACAAGGTTATTTCGGGATGTCAGTTACCCCTTATTTTCATTATTTTATAGTACTGAGACAAAAGTAACTGTAGTGTAGGTGAGGGAAAAATGATGCACATTGTTATTGTTATTGTTGGAAGAGAAATTTGTGAAACCATCCTTCGCACTGTTCGTCTTCGTGGTCTGAGAATAGTGCTCCTGTTAAAAAAGAAGTATTTTTTATCCTTTCTTCCCATTCTTCTGTTCTTCCAATGATCGCATGAAATAAAGCTTGTTGTTCTTTCGTTGGTTGACCTTTTTCACATCAACCAAAAATACATCTTGAAAAATAGTAATTAACCAAACGTTTGAAATGATTCAGTTTTCTAGAGGCTGGACCTGGTGCTGCTACAAACAGAAGTATAACTGCAGGAGACATTTAAGAGGTTGAGTGAATCGATAACTTTGGAATGAGATCTTATTTGCTGAGTTCTGATCGGGAGTTGTTCTTTTTGTCCAAAACTATATAAATTAAAGCCTTTAGTTCACAGCCGAGAAAATAGCGACCAATTGAATTTTCTCGCCTTAGAAAAGTCGATAAAGTATTGAAGATGACTTTATATTTATAGCTAGTTTATACCATAACGTATATCTATCTCTATATTTATATGCCTTTAATTTCCTCGTAAAATGGTTATGGACAATGCATCTCTATTGCTCATCAAAGAAACAATTACCTCTTTTGCTATCGTTCGAAGCTGAAACAAAGACTTTGGAAATTTTGACAGCAGCTATTGTATTGTCCCTGTAATTTATTCAGTAAATATCTTGGTTAATGGAAAAGAAAAGGTGAATATATTTTATATATATTTTCAAATTGCAACACTTGTGAAACTGTTAGATAACATGTGTACTGATTTACAATTGATTAGACTGATTCTTCCATCGCTAGACAGACGATTAAAAGTTAATTTGCTTATAAAACCACGATGAACAGCAATATTTTCTATAACAGCTAGCACATGTATAAAGTATGAATCATTGGATATCTTGTCAGTATTGCATAGTAATTTAGCACTTGATTTAGTTAAGCAAAAGGGTTGGAAATTTAACCTGTGATATAATTTTTTGATGTGAGTGCTATGTTGTTAATTCGAGAATAATTTGATTTTCGACCTTGAAGTTCTGGCAAGGGTATCATTGCAAGAACTCTTTGCCCTGAGCAGACATGGCTGTTATATTTGTTGTACTTGAGGGATTGATTTGAGACTTCTGGGAGCCTTATTTACGGTTTGTAGCAGTAGCTTTAACAGGTGATTTATTATTGTCGCTGCAACGTATCCCTTCTTAAATGGGTCTACCGCTGAGACTGACGTACATTTAAGGACACTGAAAGTCTTTTTTATGAAAGTGTCCATTGAATTTCAGCCGTGCAGTTCTAAAAAGCTCGTTAGAACTGAGTTGGAGCATCCTTATCAATTTGGTCCTGTTCGCTAAAAAGAGAGATCGAATAAAAAACCTAAATTTTTTAGGACGATATTATGTCTGTATATTGTGAATATTTTATTATGTAACAAGAACTATGTTCTGACAAAGTTGAGGCACTTAATTTCCTTGTTTTGATTTTACCAACCTTTGAGATATAAAAGGCTTTGAGTGTCACGCAATAATAACAGAGGCTAGAGTTTCTGTCACGCTGAACAATTGCGCTAACAAGCCAACCGGGAGC